GTGACAAACTCATGGTATCGTAGATGCAAGAAGATAGCAAGGAATCGGTCGACAGTAATGGCTGTTATTGTCAAAAGTGATGCATAAACAAATGTTATGGTTATAAATGTTAAACCTGCTTCAACATTGTCGGATAAAACTGTCTTGTTACTTATCTCTGCAAAAAGCACTGCACAATACATGGGCTGCGCCACGGCACCAACACCAAAGTCAGTCACGGCCAAACTAAGGACAAARATATTTGCTGAAGAAGTTCGTAAAGATGGCGTCTTCACAAAAGTCAAGATGACCAAGAGATTGAAAACTGTCGCCAGCAAACCGCTAAAAGCGTTAATGACAATCATCGACACAAAGAAGTGGGCATCGACAATGTCCCATGGTTGTTCGTTCGTCGAGTTATTCATAATATTTTGTGACTTTGATATTTTTCTCGGCTATTGCCGAGTTCTGCACGAAACTTTGTATGCAAAAAATTGGTATCTCCAAAAGTTTACGTCCTGCTTTTAAACGTCAGTAGCAGAATAGGTAGAAATTCATTTACCCAGCTGGACAGAAAAAGTGTGTATATCTTCCCTATGCATACATATATAGATTTKTCTAGTTTTGACGTATACACAGATCGCTGTGTTGCTTTAATTCGCTCTAGCCTTCAAAGCTTGTCGCCAATTCTTCTAGGTACCATTGAGTACCACAAAAAGTACATCTTCTTATTCATCATATTAATTTGCCGTAAGAGATGAAGATTGGTTTTGCCTRAAATTGTCGGGTTTTGCACCTGAAGTCTTTCACTGTTCGGTCATCTTAATTGCCTGCTTTAAATAGTGAAGCTATTCCTTAATTGAAAAAAAAAAACGAATAGAAAAAAAAGAATAGATATTAAGAATGCACATTGTTAACTCACACCACATGAATTCGCATTTTGCAGATTGAAAAAAAAAATTTAATTTTTCCCTTGCCAATTCAAAACAATATGAATAGCAACGCTTGTAGAGTTAATTGTACTATCCAACTTTCGTCGACACTGAACGTTTTTATTTCAAAAGGCCAAGTTTAAAAATCATCGGCAACTTTTTTTACCTTGGCATCCACTGGAGAAAATCGCTCTCCTGGAAGGTTGCAAATTTAAATGGAAATATGATGTAAATCAAATTTACAATGTATGTAAAAAAAAGCGTGTAAATTTGATGGAAATGGTCTGAAAGTGTCCAAAATGATGGAAATATTACTTACATCATATTGACATAGTTTTTTCATCAAATTTACATTTTACATTTACAATTTACATTTTTCCAGTTGTCGAGAGAATGATTGAGGCGTTGTGATAAACGAGTCAAGTGATCTTGGTATGTGGGAAATTTGACTTTCTGATTGCTTAAAAGTTTTTTGGGTGATGAGTAGTTATATGTAATGATCAATACGGGAACCATTAAAAAAACTTGATGCGAAGAAGAAGAAGAAGAGGAGAAGGAAGAGGAGAAGAAGGAGGAGGAGGAGGCAGAGGACGAAGAGGAGAAAAAGGACGAAGAGGAAGAAGGACGAGGACGAGGAGGAGAAGGAGGAGGAGGAGGCAGAGGACGAAGAGGAGAAAAAGGACGAAGAGGAAGAAGGACGAGGACGAGGAGGAGAAGGAGGAGGAGGAGGCAGAGGACGAAGAGGAGAAAAAGGACGAAGAGGAAGAAGGACGAGGACGAGGAGGAGAAGGAGGAGGAGGAGGCAGAGGACGAAGAGGAGAAAAAGGACGAAGAGGAAGAAG